GACTAGAAAAAAACTATAAGAATGAATGTGTAAATTGACTGATTTACTGGGGAATATAATAACCCTCTATTCAATAAAATCTGTGATTCATGTGAAGTTTGCAATATAATATAATATGTAATAATTTTATATATAATAAAATTCTATTTCTGAGTTTTTGTTAGCAAAAATGTGTGCTCTACTATTTTAACCAATTTTATAAAATCAGTAGAAAAATATAAAATTTAAAATTATATTAGCTGGATCCATATACCTGTATAGCTTTGGGTAAATATGTAGAGGAAAATAAGATTATGAATATGAAATGGGATAAGATTAGGATAAAGAAGTGGACAACATACATAAGAGAAAAGCCCAAGCATGCAATGTCAGCAAGTGTATGCTGGAGGATGCTTGTCCTTAGGGGCAGAGGGCAGGATAAACTAAATAAAACTAGGAAGTCTTAACTCTCATCTTATTTTTCAATGTAGATAGTTAATCAGTTTTTTATCTTTTTTTTTTTTTATTTGGAGTGGTTTTTGTTATAGGGTGTGTGCGTTCACCAGAAAGACAGAGAGAGACAGAAAGTGAGAAATCACCCCCCAGTGGGGATGGCCACGCCGCAATCCCTTCTCCTGCATTCTCCTCTCCGGATCTTGGGCATGCACGCACATGCGCCCTGCATGAGTTTAAGCCACCGGGTCCGGAACTCGAATCACAGTCGACTACGTGGGAGTTCAGCGACATAGCTATTACGCTAACTACTAGTCCCAGTTTTTTTTTTTTAATCTTTATAGGGAAATTTTCTTGTATAGATATTTTATAGATAAAAGTCTGAAGTTTTATTAGTTAAACAAATATGTTCATATCCTGTAGAACATTTCATGAGTCATTGCTAGGTTTTATTTAAGTCTTAAAGAAGAGAAGTATCCCTTGTTTCATGTTTTGGTCTCTCACTTGTCTTATCTTCAACCGTGAGTTTTTAATCATGGATAATCAACTTTTCTCCTAACCAATTTCTTTCACATTTCAGTATATTATATGCATGTATAATATATATGGTTTGAATCACCTTTTATTCTGTGAGACATTATTCTCTTTACTATGAGAATTAAGTTTTCCCTATCTCCTTATTTTGTGAAGATTGGAAATCTACATTATATGACTTTAGAAACAAATCTTGTGGATCTATTTTTTTTTGTATATGTGATGATTTTTAACTGATTTCATCATTTCTAAACTTTGCAAAAATGCTAGATATTTTTTTAACCATCCTTCAGTGAGCATTAGTGTATATTTAAGTGACAGTAAGTTGAAATGCATGTGGCCTGACTGTGTGCTCTAGAAGGTGTTGTAGAAGAAGAAAGATGTAAGTGGAATGAGTCTGGTGTCCCATAATGCCATGTGTCACCATGCATTGCAGATCCTCACTTCTTAACCAGGGTAATGTTCCTCATCCAGGGAGGTGCAAGGTAAGGAAGATTAAGAAAGCAAGATGCGTAGAGTAAGCTACTGTGCGTAGAGTAAGTTACTGTAGAAATACCAAATGGGTATCAGTTTCAGTGCCTTCCTAAAACAAACTTCCCCACATGGCATCCTATATATATATCTGTGCTTAAAGACAATCTTATATTTTTAAAGGTGTGAGTAGCACTAATGTTACTTTTTTTTTTTTCACTTTTAGGGGCAACTGGATTGGAGAAGCACCATATAAAGTAGGGGTACCATGTTCATCTTGTCCTCCGAGTTATGGGGGGGCTTGTACTGACAACCTGTGTTTTCCAGGAGTAACATCAAACTACCTGTACTGGTTTAAGTAAGCTGATCCTTAGGAAGTGTCATGGTGTCTGGGAATCAGAGTCATATATATATATTGACCTTTGCACATATTTTATATATATATATATATATGATAATCTTGTTTTCCTTTCAGTATTCATTTGTATAAGTTAGTGTTTGTCTAGTATGTTTGTTTAATCCTTTGAGAGAAACAGTACATCCATTTCTAGTTAATGATCTCTAAGCCTAAATTAAAATTGTATGTATGTGGCGATGACATAATTGATGCATCCAGTTCCAAAACGTGCATTCCAAAGAAGTAATATTATTATGTTCCTAAGGAATAAATTACATAGTTGACCTGTAAAGTGTATATGTATGTATAAAATACATATACATATATATGAAAAAAACATATGAGCTGTGATGTAACACATAATTAATTATGATATGGTCTGGGAGTTAACTTTTTTCTTAGGAGAGGTTTTTGCTGCGGGGTGTGTGCACTTACCCGAGAGACAGAGAAGGACAGAGAGACAGAAAGCAAGAAATCACCCCCAGGGGAGATGGCCATGCTGCAATCCTTTCTCCATTCTCTCAGGATCTTGGGCATGCACGCACTCACATCTGGCATGAGTTTTAAGTCACTAGGTTCAGAACTTGAGCCATGGTTGACTACGTGGGAGTCCAGCAATGTTACCATTATGCCACCTGCTAGTCCCAAAACTATTCTTAAGCACATGTGAGGGGGTGGAACATCTTCAGCACCCATTTCTATAATATCCACAAAAAGAGAGCTTGCAAAGTAACACTCAGTGGTATCTGGAAATAATAATTTAGTTAAGCAACCATAGATTTTATTCTGGAGATATTTTATCTTATTCGAGTCCACCAAAGGATATACTCAACTTATGGAAGTTTTCAAATCCTGCCGTTTGCTGTGCCCAATTCCCTGGACCAGTAGTCACATGCTCAGTTCTTACTCCATGCAAGGCACTCCCTTGGATGTGTTCTGATAGTGCAAAGAATCTTAAATGTGGTTTCTGCCCTCAAGAAGCTCAGAAAAGTATCCTGAAAACTATGCAGCCTAATGATTTTGTTGTATAATTATATTTTTAGCAAATTGATTTTCATGTTGTTTTGAGCAAGCAAGCCTAACGATGTTCACTTGTAGACAGGAGTAGCGATGAGCCATACTGTGCAATAGATAAAGCTTCTGATTTCCATGAAAATTCAGTTATAGTACTCAGAATAAGAAATAAAAGGAAAGAACTAACATCTACCCTGATATTTATGGAACAGAATATAGTTAGAGCTTTTCAAAACAGAAAGCAACATCTTCAGAGAGGCGATCAAGTCTAGGAGAAAATTTAGATAACAGGTATGGAAAGTCACCGAAATCGAGAGACTGTACGAAAACACCAGCTGGAGAGCTCAGAAGGGAATGTCCTGAAGGTCTAGAACATCTGGAGACCTGTCAGTGGGAGGTAAAAGATTCCCAAATGAGACACGTGGAGGGGGGTTGGCTGTCATTATTTGCTGCCACCCATCTACTTATCATCTAGGGTCTTTGAATGTCATAGTAAATCTTTTGACACCACATAAATCATGATTTTGTCAGAGTATCCTTCTTCAGATACTTTTCTAATTACCAAACTTTTTTTTTTTTGAGAGGTTTTTGCTATAGGGTGCGTGCGCTCGCCAGACAGAGAGAGACAGAGAAACAGAAAGCGAGAAATCACCCCCCTGGGGGGATGGTCACACTGCAACCCCTTCTCCTCCATTCTCCTCTCGGGATCTTGGGCACGCACGCACACGCGTCAGGCGTGAGTTTTAAGCCACCAGGCCCGGGACGTGAACAGCAGTCAACCACGTGGGAGTCCAGTGACATAGCCATTACACTAACTGCTGGTTCCCAATATTAAAATTATTTTTAACATTGTAAAACATTTGAGATAAAATTACATTTTTAATGAACTTTTTTTTGGCAGAAACTGTCTAATTCTTTGTATTTATCCTAGCTTCTTAGTCAGTGGATATAATATAATAAATGTTTATATAAATAAAATTTTAGAATGAACCAAATATCTAGAGTTATAATTTAGAGAAATGCCACCTTTTCATTGCTTTACTAAGACAAAAATACCTAAATTATAAAGCTTTGAATATATCAGAAATTTAGACAAAAAAATCAAACATATCAGATAAAGACTAGGGCCTACACATTAGTAGATAACACTTACATAATAGCCCTTTCAAACCACAAACAAAACTATGAGCTTATTTATAATTTAACAACTCATAAATATATAGTTGATAGATATAAAATATAACGGGTATATTTTTTATCTATCTGTAGTTTGTAAAGTTATTCTTATCAAGCGACTGTGTGAAATATTTTACTTTCTAGGTTAAAGCAAATGAAAGTTTTCTAGTATCAATGCAGTGTGTCATATTTTTTTATAGCATTCAACAATGGTGCTAAGTAGCTATTTCTCACTGTGGTTCCCAGAGGCTGAAAGAGTCCGAGTATAAGCTATTTCATAAGAGCAGCTTTAAGTAAGTATTGAGATTTTTCAGCTGGAAAGTCCTCATTCAAAAGAAATAGTAATCGGAATATATGCACTAGAGTATTGATACTCTCTGTAGGCTGGATTTTTTTTTTTTTTTAAGTCACAGTATGGAGTTTTTGGTCTCCATATCATCAGCACACTAAAAACGATTACATTTTTTACTATTGAAATGATGGATATCTTTATGGAATTGTCTGCAAGCTGTGTAGACACAGTTGTTACTGTTTTTGTTTATGACAGATAACTCTGCGTTAAACTGTGGGGGAAAGAATTATTATTATCATTCTTGCTTCCATTTGGTAGAGGAAGCCACATCACTTCTGTGGCCTATCAAAGCCATCCTACAAATTTCATCCGGCAGTGCCACAGCATTCTTTAGACACATTCACCTGCAAATTCCCTGTAGTTTAGCACAGAGCTGACCAAATAAACCAAGTATCAGAGCAAGTCCAATCAATATGATTGACTCAGAATAGTTGAAGTGAAACAATATGCTTTCATTCTTATGTGTGTGTGTTAACTCAATTTGTATCATCTATGTAAGTAAATTCAATGCATATTTTAGTCAGTTTGTTTTGTGCTCATACCCCACTTGTTAAACAAATACACATGCTAAACAGGTAACTAGCATATATCCATGAAGGAAAAGTAAAGTCTTGACTTTAGTGAACGTCCCCTGTCATGTGACCACATATTCTGGCTTCTGAGATATCATAGGATGCAAATCTTGACATAGATAGAAGCCTTTTCCTACCAGAGTGTTTAGGGAGAATAAAATTGCATTTCTACCAAAGGCCAACATCATTTTTACTTTTGTAAGTTCTTCTTATTCTTCTTTGTTATTTTGTCTTGTCATTGTATTTTTGGGTGAAGACATCCTGAAGGCAATTGAATAAGTAAATATATTTTAAAAACTATGTCATGGTCTAAGTTTGACTTATGAAGTGTCAATTAAAAACTTAGTAGTGAAAGGTGCTAAAAACACATTTCAATGACCATATCCTTACCATAATTTTGAGGTTTCTTAGCAATTACTGATAGTATGGACGATCAACATCTATTTTGGTGCTAAATATATGGTGCTAAATGAATGAAGTGTTAATGGCTTTCATATTGCTACTTGTATTCATTATTAAAAACTGTTATCCATTCAATTAATATTTCAAAAATAGTAATGAAATCTTGTTAAATTAATTTTCAACAAAAATGGGCCAGTTTTTTTTTTTTTAATTTAACAGTCTGACATTATTAGGTGCTACATAACATAAATACATCAAATGTTACTACCTAAAGGGCAGACAGTACACCTACCATGCTGCAGGCACTGGCGCCCTCTGGTGGTTATAAAAATAAATACTTGACGGTGATGCAAAAATCATTCCTGTTCAATAAAAATTTAAGTTAAACAATATTAGAATTTTCTAATATTCATTCAATCTGACAGCATTTAAAAATGCTTGGTTTTATTGACATATAATAATAAAAGATAGTTAATACATCTGGACTCACTTTCCTAAAAACGTTTTTCATGATTTTCTAGTTCTGAGGTACTTTATTAAAGTGTGTTCTTTTCTGAACCAGGTATTAATTATATATATTCCTCTACTTTGCATCATAATTACAATTAAAAATACGGTCCTAAGTTATAACTTATTGTTATTTAGCGCAGAATATAAGATTTTAAAAGTATACTAAAATAATAATGAATTCCATAATTATTAAAGAGTTTCTCTTTACTTTTAATTGTTGGTCTATAATTTGATAATGTTATTTGATTATACTATTGAGCGTGATAAAGTTTTATTATTCAATTCAAAGTCTATCTAGCCTAACGAATGTACATAAAAAGCTTAGAATTATATCACCTGTAGCTAATAAAAGTAATTAGCATTCTCAAGTTAAATTTCAGCTTGAGATATGTAATTGGATATAGTAATCTGATTCAACAGATTTCCATAAAATTTACTCTGAACCTCTTTTACAAATTTCTACTTTCAAATTTATTTGAAAGCACTAAAATCTTTCTACGATCTAAATTGTACGCAAAATACCTAATGCACATAAAATAAAACCCTTTTTTCTCCACACCTTCTAGTTCCCAGGAACTTTTTTCTCTACCCTAAGATTCCATCAAGCACAATGAAATTGATCTATAACCATTCCCCCCCGTTTTCCACTAAAATCATTGCTTAATGACAAAAAAAAAATGTAAAAAAGACAAAGAAAAAAATTGAGGGACTAAATTATTAAAATATTCAGTACACTTCACATGTGTTAGCTGCCTCTTTGTTTCATGGCAAACTAAATGCTGGCGTAAACTGGTGCGTGATTACTTATAACAGCATCTTGTGTTTCATTATCTGACAGAAAGAATGTTGATACCATGATATTTTGAAAATTAGAGATGTTTATGATGCACATACGAAAAATATGTTTTTAAAATATCTCAATATCTTTCAAATATTTATATAATCTTATACTGTTTTATTTTAGATATTTAAAAGCAGATTAGTCTGGATATGTTTTGTTCATGGCCTAATGCTGTGGCAGTGGGAGGTGCCTTTGACATTGTGATATAATGTCATGCATTTGTACATAACGTGAAACCTGTGTAAACCTCTGTCCTTATGAATCATAACACATGTAGCTCCACTGTTTTCTTTCAATAAAAGTTTATTATTAATGGTTTTGTTTTTAAAAGGTATCTAATTGTTGTCTTTTTAAAATAGAACTTCAAGTATGATAGACTCCAAAGTATATGGCATAATATTGATGAGAAAAGAGTTGCTATTTAAAACCAACAATGATTCTATCTTTAATCACTAAAATACACCTAATGTTCTTTTTTTTTCTTTTCCTTTTGAATGCAAGTCTCCTCAGCCTTTGCAGGGCACTTAGGTTGGGGGGAGCCGAACTGAGACCACCAGTTGGAGCCCCTGTGTTCCCAGGGGCCTGGTGGCCTGGGGTGATGGGCTCA